AGACAAAAATATTCGTTTAATGAATGAAAGATCTATTTACTTCCCCAAAGGCCTGGGAACCAGAGCAAAGAGCCACTCCAGGACCTTTTATTGCACACAGCCACTTTTTTCTGTGTCCTCAGGTATATGGGGCCTCCAATGTAGAACTCATCACACGGACTCGGACAGAACATCTCTCAGAACAGCACAAGGGCAAGGTCAAAGGTAATGAGGCCAAGGTGGATGGGAAGAAGTACTGTAGGACTGGAGGAAGTAGATTCCACTCAGAACCCATTTCAGTATTCCCTTTGGCAGCCCAGCAATAGTCAGGATGGCCTATTCAGGCAAACATTTGAAGTGCCAAGTCACTGCAGCTGCCTAGTGTACTAAGATTCTTAGGACTTACTTAAGCTCAGCAGACAGGCATACCACAATTGATTAATAATGCCTGCATTTAGGAGTAGAAGAGAGGCCAAGCGTTGGTGGCTCATACCTGTAATCCTAGCTACTCAGGAGGCTGAGATCTAAGGATTGCGGTTCAAAGCCAGCCTGGGCAGGAAAGTCCGAGAGACTCTTTTTTTTCTTTCTTTCTTTTTTTTGTCATGGGGCTTGAACTCTCGGCTTGGCGCTATCCCTCAGCTCTTCAGCACAAGGCGAGCTCTCTACCACTTTAACCACAGCGACACTTCCGGTTTTCTAGTGGTTTATTGGAGATAAGAGTCTCACAGACTTTCCTGCCTGGGCTGGCTTTGAACCGCAATCCTCAGATCTCAGCCTCCTGAGTAGCTAGGATTACAGATGTGAGCCATGGGGAGACTCTTATCTCCAATAAACCACTCAGAAAACCAGAAGCAGCTCTGTGGCGCAAGTAGTAGAGTGCTCGCCTTGAGCTGAAGTGCTGAGTGATACTGCCCAGGCACAGAGTTTGAGCTTCATGACTGACAAAAAAAAGTAAAAGAAAAAAAAAAGGAGTAGAAGAGATATCATGCATGCCATTTATCAGCTAGTCTAGTGTACTGTGACATGGCCTGGGTAGAAAGTCAGGGGAGCCTGTTACTGATTCTATGTGTCCATATGTATTAGGTTCTCTGGGCATTAGTTAACCTGTTTCAAACAGAAATGCATAATTCCTACATCACAGGAGAACAAATAGACACTTGTGTCCAGTAGCACCAACCAGGGAAGGCTTTGGAAGCCTTTTATTCCAGTTATGCTTGCAGTGGTCAGGGCCCTGCCCCTTGAAGTCTTTAGTGGCCTTTAGATGAAGATGCTTGGGGATGTTGTGTGAGCAAGCTGCCTCCCCGCCCCCCCCCCCCCCCCCCATTCCAGGGACCAGCTCCTCCCTAGGTCCTGGGTATTGTCACTTCTGAGGAGGTGCCCATGTGTGTGGGGTTGAGTGTCCTGAGATACCACATTTCTTATAGGTTGTAAGACACCTCTGCAGTCTTTCCTGGGAATTGCTGAGCAGCATGGTGGTCCTCAAAATGGGGTGAGTGTGTACCAGGGCCATCACTGTGGAGGGGTATGGATGTGGCTTAGGAAGCTTGGTCTATATGTGTCTCCACAATGCCCAAGGCCATGTCAGCTCCACATTGGCAGGGAGGAGAGCTGGGGCCCTGTGGTACCAAGAAGCTCCCTGGCATTGGATTGAGAACTCATGGTCTCTCCCATGTGGTATAGACCTTGATTACTCAGACCCTGAGCCAAGCCAACCCCACTGCCATCACTGCAGAAGAATACTTCAACCCCAACTTCGAGCTTGGCAACCGGGACATGGGCCGTCCCATGGAACTGACCACCAAGACACAAAAGTGAGGCCCCCAGCTTCTGCTTGGGAGGGGTGGGCAGGGATCGAACTCCCAGAGGTGCTGGGAGGCCACGGAATCCTTCCTGCAGCAACCCTTACCCCTTCGGATCTGGGGGGCAGGTTCAAGGCTAAGCTGTGGCTGTGTGAGGAGCACCCCCTGTCCCTGTGTGAGCAGGTGGCCCCCATCATTGACCTCATGGCTGTTAGCAATGCGCTTTTTGCCAAGCTCCGGGACTTCATCACCCTGCGTCTGCCTCCTGGCTTCCCAGTCAAGATTGGTGAGAAGGGGCTGGGAAGGTGGCTCAGTGGTAGAGCGCTTGCCTCGCATGCATGAGGCCCTGGGTTCAATTCCTCAGTATCACATAAGCAGAAAAAGTCAGAAGTGGTGCTGTGGCTCAAGTGGTAGAGTGCTAGCCTTGAGCTGAAGAGCTCAGGGACAGTGCCCAGAGTTCAAGCCCCATGACTGACAAAAAAGAAGTTTGGTGAGAAATAAACTTGACCCCTACACACCACCACTTCCTTTAGCACTTTCAGAGGGTGGGATGGAGTTCAGATGAGGTCAGGGGAGCAGCCCTGAAGTGTGATGGGGGGCTGTGTGTGTGCAGTGCCTGATGCTTCTCTCATCCCCAGAAATTCCAATCTTCCACATCCTCAATGCCCGCATTACCTTTGGGAACCTCAATGGCTGCGACGAGCCTGTGCCTTCCGTCCGAGGCAGCCCCAGCAGCGAGACCCCCTCCCCAGGCAGTGACTCCTCCAGTGTCAGCAGTTCCAGCTCTACAAGTAAGACTCACACCCCTCACAGTCTTGCCCTCTCTGAATTCAACTCAATTCCACCCCCATGCTGCTCTAGGGCAGCCTGGAGGGGTAGGCCCAGCATGCCTGACCCTCAGATCCTTCCCCCAGCCTCATGCCGCAGCTGTGAGATCTCCCCAGCCTTGTTCGAAGCACCACGCGGCTACAGTGTGCTGGGCGGCCAGCGAGAGGCAACAGCCCGGGACGATGACGACGACCTGCTGCAGTTTGCCATTCAGCAGAGCCTGCTTGAGGCGGGCAGTGAGTATGACCAGGTGTGTCCCTGATGCCACGCCGGGCCATGCGAAGTGTGGAGTTGCACAGCTAACAGGCCCCTCCCTCCAGGTCACAATCTGGGAGGCGCTAACCAACAGCAAGCCAGGCACCCACCCTATGTCCTATGAGGGTCGCCGACAGGACAGGTCAGTACATGATAGGCCAAAGAGAACTCTTCCCCACCCCCACCGAACACACAGAGTCTCTCAGTACTCCCCTTACACTGAGTGAAGACGCTAGAACCTTTCTATGCCTAGAGAACATGTATTCTTTAGGAAAGCTCCTACCTGGTACCCTTTCCTGATGCTGAGTCATAGCCAGAGCTCCCCTAAGCAGGTAGAGGGCAGATCCTCATAGAGGATATAGGGGATACCAGATAGGATGCTGGGGCCAGGATGTGTAACACTGGGGTGGGGGGCCCCAACTAAGTGGCTCCGATGAGGGGTTGCGGACCTGCTCTGCTCTGGGGCCTCCATGCTGTCTCTCACCCTAGAGCAGAGCAGGTGCACAGGGAGCACTCCACAAATCCTCCCCGCCCCCAGGAGCGCCCCGCCGACGCCACAGCGACAGCCCGTGCCCCCAGCCCCAGTCCCCAGTCCAAGGCCCAGTCCTGGCCCCGGCTCCAGCGGCCGCATGTTCCCGAGTTACGACGAGCAGCTGCGGCTGGCCATGGAACTGTCTGCGCAGGAGCAGGAGGAGCGGCGGAGGCGTGCACGCCTGGAGGAGGAGGAGTTGGAGCGCATTCTGCGGCTCTCGTTGACCGAACAGTAGCGCCCCCTGCTGGGCCCCTCGCCCACTCCATGCACCACCCCACCCGGGGCCAGAGCGCAACAAGCCGGGGCCAGTGCACCTGCCCAGCTGCGGCTGGAGTCTGGAGCCACCGCCTCAGGCGTGTGGCAGCGCACCAGGCACAAGACGGGGAGGGGTTTGACCTGGGCGCGGGATAACTTTCCGGGCCAGGGCCCTGGAGGCAACTGGAACTGCCAGAACCTCTTTGTTTGGCTGTATCTTGACCCCCTAATCCGCTTCTGTGGGCTCAGATATGCCCAAGGGCGGAGCCAGGTGGTCCTGAAGAGGAAACTGTTAGAGGAACATTGTCTCCATCTCTGGCTCCTGGCCGGCCCTCCTTCCCGCTCACTGACCCCATTCCAGGACACTGCCCCTGAAGCCTTTGCATCTCCGCTCTTCACCCCCTGGGAGGCAGCTGAGCTTCCCGTGTGCTGTGTTGCTGCTTTGTCCCAGACACAAACCAGCACATCAGGGGCCCAGCATCCCTGCCCTCCACATCCCGTCATTTCAGCGTCAAGTGCACTTAGCGGGGTGCCCTGCTTCCTCAACCCCCACACCCATCCTGGGTCTCAGGGTGGTCCCAGCTTCTCCTCGGGCAGCCAGAAGTTGGAATCCCCATGCTCAAGGCACATTTTTATGATCAGGTTGTATGTCCAAGGTGGCCCCCCCTCCCGGCCTGGGCAAGGCCTGACTACTTTGTGGTGCCTTGAAGAGTGTGTATGTGGGGCGGGGAAGGTATTGGGCTGGGGGCAAGCACTAGATTTGACACAAAACTGGCTACAAAGGGGTTGCCGAGGACCCTGGCACCACCACCTACCCTTCCCACCAGCTGCTGCTAGCCCTCTGTGGTTGTGCATCCTTGTCCCCGCTCTGGGGGCTGACTAACCCTTCATCCAATGGTGCTAACCCCCGGCTCTCCCCACCCACCACAGAAGCACAGGCCCTGCCAGGGGCAGGGGCCCACCGCACACTCTTGTCCATGGCCTCTTGTACTGGCCTTTCTGCTCAGCCAGTGAGGCTGAGCAAAGAGCAACAACAACAACAAAAATTTCCTTCCCACTCCCTTTCCTGATGCCAGGGGCACCAGACTGATTATGAGGCACAAATAAAAGAGGCTTCAAAACGAAGATTTTCTTAACCTGACTTTACTGGGGGAGGAGAACCCCTGGTGGGTGGGAGTTGGGACCCTGTTGAGCCATAGTGTGTTGACTCTGAGGGTTTAACTGCTGTCTGGTGGTGGGCCCTCAGCCCAGGGTTGTATTTTCTAGGTTCCCAGCACTTGCAGAGGCTAGGAGCTCTCCCTCATTCTCACCCATGCAGGAGGCACAGATTTTGTAAAATATTCCATCGTTTTCCTCACAGAGGGGGAGGGGGGAGGGGCCACTGTGCGTGCTGGGTGTGGGTGAACCAGTTTCCTCATGCCAGTTCTGAGATTTCTTAGGCAGGGACTATCTCAAGGAAACCACCTTCTCTGGCCATGGAAAGGGAGAGCCCACTGCCTAAAACTGCTGAGTGTCACCAGTGGGTTGGACTTCGTAGGCAAAGGATTGTGCATATGTCTGCAGAACTGGGGACCTGTCATCTGTCTGAATTACCACGAATGGGTGGGTTAATCAAGTAAGCTGAGTGAAAAATCCTTCATTTTCCCCAGCAGGGGTAGGCCCACTGAAAAGTCATCCCTTTGGGTTGAGGCACAAACTTCCTAACTTGCACAAGCATCGCGCGAATACTAAGCACTTCCCCTGCCCTAGGTGAGGAATAGAGGTGGATACCACCCCGCCATGCAGCACCATTGCTGAGGCCTTCCTAGGCCAGCTCCTGAGCACAACCTGGCCCCTGCCAGACATGTGAATCTCCCCTACACTCTGTCCAGGTGTCTGGCGAGGGGTGGGATTTCTTTCCTAGTCCGGATGAATCCCAACCCAGGGACTCAGGCAGGTGAGAGCTGGCGTCCTAGACCAAAACCCAGGGTGGGGTGGAGTCCATGCGTCCCACTCTGTCCTGCCTGCGGGTCTGCGGGCTAGTCAGTGCCATCCACCAATTCGCACAGCATATTCTCCAAAGCGGTGATGCGCTCCTCCTGTGCCTGCACCCTTTCTCGTAGGGCCTTAATCTCCTCCAGCAGCGTCTCCAGGGTGTGTTGCTATTGGGCGTGAAGGACAGAGGCCAGGTCAGAGGATTATGAGGATATGCAGACTGAGTCTGGGTACAGAGGGTCAAGATCTCACCGACAGGGGGGCGTCACTAGCGGATTGGCTACGGCGGGGGCCGGAGGGAGGTCGCACGTCCAGGATGTTGCGCTTGGTGACCCGGAGCTCGCGGTGCTTGGGGGGCACGTAGCCATCCTTCAATGAAATGAGCACAGGCTCGGCATCTTGGCCTGCTAGCCATTCATCTGCTTCCAAGGCTGGCTCTGGGCCTGGAGTGTCCGGGTATAGATCGTCCTGGAACAGGTCTGACTGCGGAAGTGGATGAACAGGCAGACTCCTGTGAGCTGGGGTGCCAAGCCTGCCGCAGTCCCTTCCTCCTGGGGGCCCCGACCCATCCTCACCTTGCGGGGCACAGTCATAACGATGGGTTCACACTTCCGTTCGTGCAGCTTGTAGAACCTGAAAGGAAATGGTGCTCAGCACCCTAGAAGAGCTACTTCCTTAAGTTCTCTCATCATAGCCCAGGGGTTGGAGGCCAACACTTGCTTACTTTTACCACATGCATTGATCTTTACATTCACGATCAGTCCCTAAAGCAAAACACTTCTCAATGTGTGTCATCAAAGAATGTCAGCCTAAAGTGGCTGGTACTTAAAAAAAAAAAAAAAAAAGATTTGATCCCACCTCAATCTTTTCTTTTCCAAAGCCCTGTGCCTTTGGGGAAACCCCAAAGGTCAAGAAAGACCTGACATGAATATGGGATGGAGGCATGCATGCAGGAGGGACCAAGGCTGCTGACCGGGCAATCTCGCACTTGCTGACATCCAGCCCCCGCTTGGGCATGAAACCCATGCCGCGCTGCGGCTCTTTGCTGCTGAATGTGTTCAGGTAATGCACGAAAGGAGGTTCGTCGGTAATTTCAAAGTACCGGATACTGCTGTCACCCTGCAAAACCAGTCCATTCAGAGGGTCCAGGCTGCGCCCTCACATCTCTATCCTGCTTCATTCTCCCACCTGGCCTTGAGCAGCGCACCTTGCCACACAGGTAGACGATGCTGGAGTCTGGATCATAGAAGGGCAGTAGGACTCCGTTGCTTGTGTCCATCTCCTGCAGTGCCACTGGCTCCTCGAAGTTGTTCTGCCCGGGCACAGGAGGTGTGATCTGCCTGCTTATCCTCTGGAATCCCCTCTACTTCCTGCCTGCGCCCAAATTCCATGTGTACCCAGGGGGCAGCTCTTTTGAGAGCGACAGGTTCCTCCCTTAGACATGTCACCCCAGCACATTGTCCACTTGTCCACCTTGCCCACCACCCACTTGTTCCCCACCTCCCTCCCCTGTGCCGCTGCATGCAATCACCGCAAACCACCCCCAGGGACTCGGCATCACCAGGTGGAGGCGCCAGCGCGAACTCCTTCAGGCGACGCAGCAAAACCCGGCAGAGAGGGGGATGGGTGTGGAGATGGCAGGGTGTGGAGATGGCAGGCGCTGCGGAGGTAGCAGCAGCCTCCAGCCCTGTCCAGGTGGGCACGCCCTGGGGGGGGCGCTTGGCCCCTCTCCCGTGATGCCAGTCCCCGGGGCACACACCCCCAAGCCTCCAGCTGTGTTACCGGGTCCCACAGGCCCAGCTCTCGCTGGCTCATGCGGGTGAATCCCGTGGTGAAGATATGGCCCTGGCGCGTGAAGACAGCCCGCATGGGCCTCATCCCCTCGTGGGCCGCAAACCTCTCCTGGGGGAGGGGGAGAAGGGAGGGGCATCACCCAGCTGTCTGCAACCCGTGTGCTGTCTGGGAAACTGGGGTGGAGACAGGGAGATATTAAAGGGTCCTACGAATTCACTGCGCATGTTTTGGGCGGGGGTGGGGTTGGGAAGGGGAGGCAATGGCTGGCCTCTGGCCTGGAGAACATCTGGGCCAAGACGCACGGCTGTCCACAGACCCCAAGCCCTCAAGCGCCCTCAAAGGCCGATCCCTAGAGCAGGTGAGGTCGTCTGGCTTCTCCTCTCTGGTGTCCTGGGTGCGGGTCACGGCCCTCGGGGAGGGCGCTCCTGGCCGACCCAGCGAAGGAAGGAGGAAGCGAGCGAGCGAGCGCGCCTGGCGCGGCCTGGCCTACCGGGTCCCAGAGCGCGACTTGCCGCTCACTCATCCTGCTGAAGCCGGTGCTGAGCAGCTTCCCGTCTGCGGTGAAGACCGCCCGCAGCGGGCGGGCGCCCTCGTGAGGCCGGGCTCGCTCCTGCTCACGGGGTGAGTGGGTTAGAGCGCCCGCCTGCGGGCCGTCCGCCTCCTGCCGCTCCACCCGCGCGCGCTCCACGCAGACATGCTCGTGCTCGGCACCCCAGGTTAGACTGATGGCGAGTCAAGCCGGGGCCGCCGCCCGCCCAGAACACTCAGCTGGGGTTGCCCAGTCCCGCCCAGAGGGGTCAACAAGAGCGGGAAGCCCGCCAACCAGTGGTCAGACCCTAAACCCAGGAGGATGGCGCTGGATGCCCTCTGAGAGGGGAGGGTCCGGGAGCTCAGTTTTCATGCAGGTTCTGATGGGAGACGGAATTTCCAGGGTCTCCCCTCCTCAATCTCAAAGCAAACAGACCTCTCTGCTTCAGGAGAGGTGAAAGGAGAGGAAAGGAGGTGAGGGGGGAGAGGATGCTAAGGGAGGGAAACAGGAGCAGGGCAGAGAATTGCAGGCTGGAGACTTTTTCTTAGGGCTGGGATTGGGGTTGCAGAGACTTGTGTCGAGCCAAGACTGAGCTCTGGAGTAGGAATAGGACTGGTGAAAGCTGGACCAGGGGCTCTGCTGGCTGTGGTATATGGAGTGCTAGCAGCTGGTCACCAGGGAAGGGCTTGTAGGCAGTGATTAGGTACTCACCGCCACCACTTGGCCTTTTCGAGGATCGATGATGCGCAGAGTCTTGTCTTTGCAGGTGGTGGCTAGCAGGGTACCGTTGTTGTTCCAGCAAACACTGTGGATGAGGTCCGGATGCAGGTCCTCCAGGCTCAGCAGCACCTCTCCAGTACCCACATTCCAGATGATGATCACATTATCACCACCTATCCAGAGTGGCCAGATATGGTCACCTGGGCCCCGCCTTTGCCACCCCCACCTTCGCCTACAGTAGAGACCTTCCCTAAGCTCTCATACCTGCACTAAGCAGGACATTCCTGGCAATAGGATGCCAGGAGAGGATGCCCACTCGCTTGGAGTGGCCTTCAAGTGTGATAATAGGTTCTGTAATGTTGCGCACAGGAGTATAATCTGGGATCTGCCACACCTGGATGGGACAAAAAGGCAAAGTGTATGTAGGATAAGGAACCAGCTCTTTATTCCTCTCTACCCTCCATCTCTACTCCTTAGCTCTATTGGCTCTCTCAAGTGGTAAGGATCAAATACAGGGCAAGATCTAGTAGTGTCTGCCTAGGGCAGAAGCAGCTAGGAACCAGAGGAGGCACTGCCAGCTTTCCAGAGACCTTCCCATTCACTCCAGCAGGCATTGTCCCCCTGCTCTTTGGGCCCCAAGTTATCCATGGCTATAATTAGCCCTTAGCAGTGGATCCTGGGAGGGAATAGGCATGGAGTTAAAAATAGCCTGGTTAATGGGCAGGGCAGGTCAGGACTCTGGGACTCTATTTCCTAGCACTTTGCTCAGCACAGGTGAGACAGCTGTCCATATTTATTCTACCCAACTTTAACAGCATCCACCTGGCTCCTACCATGATGGTGGTGTCATCCGAGGCACTGGCGATAACATTGTCATTGTGGGGGCACCAGTCGATGTCCAACACAGGGGCAGTGTGTCCAGTAACCAGTGGGTAGTTCTTATCCACTCGTCCTGTCTGGAAGGATCAGAGAGGGAGATATGGAGCCATGCTCCTGTGTGTCATCTCTGTGAGTGTGTGTGTGCGCGTGCACGCGCGCCCTCACACTACAGATCTAACCCAGGGCCTCACACATACTAGCATTCTGCCATTGAGCTACATTCACTCATTCATCCTGTGTGTGTTTTTGAAATGGAGAGTAGGTTTGTTATGTATCAATTAAGTATAATTTGTCTTCTGTTTGCAGACATGACTCTTAACCTCTTATCCCAAAGTTTTAACCCTAAAGTTTACTCTGAGTGTGTCTAAAGGTAAAAAGTTGAAATAATTTCTATTAGGGAATCTGAGAAGCAAGCCAGGGCCCACAATAAGAGTCTAGTAAAGAATCCAGATAAACTTTCACTCTAGTGCTTTTGAAAAGACATGTATATGGAAAAGGCTTTTCTTTTTCCTTCCTTCCTTCCTTTCTTTCTTTTCTTTCTTTCTTTCTTTCTTTCGGCACTCTCTGTAGCTAGCCTCAAACCTGTAATCCTCCTGCTATCGCCTCCCAAGTACTAGGACTCTGGCTGTCCACCACAGTCCATGTCCATGTGAGAAGACTGTTCTTGAACCTGTCTGTGGAAAGCCTCTAGTGGAAGAAACCAATATGAGGTAAAACTCAATACTAACCAGCTCCAGCAAGTCTCTCTTTTGTCACTGGCTTTACCTTGGAAGCACAGAAATAGGAAATCCTAAAGCCTATTATTCCTTAGTAGGGGCTGAGAATTCAACTCTTTGGGTCTTCATTGACTGCTTGTAGAGGCTCTGCGGCCTTTGCAGGGACTGGCATTGATGTAGACCAGGCAGTAGGGGAGAAGGGTAGCCACCAAGCATTGAAATGGCAGTCATACTCAGGGAGGAGGTGGCTCTAGCTGAAATTTGAGCCTTGGGGATGCTGTCTCTGGATAGTGTCTGCATTGTCCTGGGTGAGTCACAGGCTATTGTCAGGTCTTTTCTTGACCTTGCTACTGTGCCTCCCCCCCCCCCTTTCCCCAGAATAGGGGCCAGAATCCCAGTCAAGGTCATACCTTTGGGTGTCCATCCTGGGTGTAGAGTCTTCAGGTTGCTTTATAAAAGTGACAGTCATTGCCTGCCCCCCCCCTTCCCTAGGGCAGGGAGGGCTCTAGTCTTAAATGTTATGTCTTTGCCCTTTACTCTCATTCTACTCCATTGCCAGAACCAAAGTGGGAGGAGTCAGGAATGCTTTGGATAGAGTCTGACTCTGTTCTTAAGTGTGCTGCTCTAGGATGTGATTTAATCAAATAAGCATCCAGAGCTGAGGAAGGAGGATCTCCAGCCCCAGAACATGAGGGACTGTGATTTTAGAAGAGACAGGGACAGAATCCCGCTAAATCTTCGTTCTGCTGCATCTTGACCATCCCTATTACCTAATTCCCATCCTGATCCCTACTAGAAGCAAGGTGCTGCATAGAGGTGGAGGGCCTAGGTCACAGTAGTCACAGTGACACTGCTGCTTAGGATGGGGTAAGGGACCATCCCCACTGGTCCTGGAGGGCTTCAGGAATAGGGGGCAGCCAATCCACACAAATGCCCTCCTATCTGATGAATAGGCCCAGGTGAAAATTTAGGCTGCTGTCAGGAGTCCCCAGGGTCCCCAGACCAGTGCCCTCCCACTTATTTACCTCCCATCATCCTCTACCTTGGCCAAAGGCAGGACAATGAAGGCACCACCACCTCCAGCCTCCACAATAATAGCCAGGAATTTGGGGTTCACAGCACAGAAGGAGCTGTCCCATGTGACCTTGGACACCCGGATGTCCTCATAGGCCTGGTCGGCCTTTGCTGCCTGGCCAAACACATGGCGGAATTTGCTCTGCCGAACCACACGTCGGCTCATCGCTGGGGTAGAGATACAGGATCTCAGTTGCCCAGAAGTGCCTTTGGTCCTTAGTCCTGTGAGCTGTGGGAGGGAGAAGGAGTGGAAGAGGTGGCCAGTTAGAAGGGTTATCTAGCCAGAACAGGAACTTTCTTCAAGATAATCAAAGTATGAGATAGTTTTGGCAGGCGCTGGTGGCTCATGCCTGTAATCCTAGCTACTCAGGAGGCTGAGATCTGAGGATTACAGTTCAAAGCCAGCCTGGGCAGGAAAAACTGTGAGACGCTTATCTCCAATAAACCACCGGAAAACTGGAGGTAGCTCTGTGGCTCAAGTTGTAGAGCGCTCACCTTGAGCTGAAGAGCTGAGGGACAGGGCCCAGGCCCAGAGTTCAAGCCCCCCCCACCCCACCCCACACACACGCATAGAGTATGAGACAGTTTTTTGTCACCTATCAAATGCTGTTAAATGTGAACTCAGAGTTCAGAGTTGGGCCCGAACTCTTCTTATAGACCCATGCTGAGGGCAATGAAGCCTGGCAAGTAGAATGCTCCCTGAAGACAGAATGATTTGGGAGGAATCTCAATACCAGTTCCCTTTCCACTTCTGGCCTTGGATGATCATCTCTTTAAAAAGTGGTTTTATCGCTGGGCGCTGGTGGCTCATGCCTGTAATCCTAGCTACTCAGGAGGCTGAGATCTGAGGATCGTGGTTCAAAGCCAGCCCGGGCAGGAGAGACCGTGAGACTCCTATCTCCAATAAACCACCGGAAAACCGGAAGTGGTGCTGTAGCTCAAGTGGTAGAACGCTCGCCTTGAGCTGAAGAGCTGAGGGACAGCGCCCAGGCCCAGAGTTCAAGCCCCACGACCGACCAAAAAAAAAAAAAAAAAAGTGGTTTTATCTCCTAGAGGCACACTGACTAGAATCAGAGGCTTTGGGCATTGGATCTTAGCTCAAGGCCAGTTACTCGGCTACAACTGCAGCCTCCAAGATCATATCTTTTTCTAACAAATTTCTCATAGGAGAAATTCCTCCTGTTAGCTAACCTGAGCTGGCTACTGTTCTCATCAGTTCCCTCCTACACTTTTTTTTGGGGGGGGGCGGGGTAAGGAGGGGTGGAGACTCGTCGTAAGGTGGATTCCCTTCTTCCATTTAGCCCTACACTGGTTTTCCAAAAGGACCCGAACCATTATGGTCTTTGGACTTTTTGCACACCAAACTTTTAAGTCCAGCTTTTCTATTGGGCACTCTGTCTTCGCTTGGGTCTTTCTCTTAGTAAACTCTTCTGTAGGTGGGGGTCCTTGATCTAGGGGTCATGACCAGAATTTCAGGGTTGGGGAGGTAGGGTGAAATGCCTTTTCTAAAGGGGTCAGGGCCTGAACTAGGTCTGCTACTCTCTTCCAGACCCCATTCTTCCAAAGGTACAAGAGTGTCTGCCCCTCCCCAGCCCCAGTCATCCCCAGTGCCCTTCAAGCAGCTTCGGCGGCCCCAGGCCTGAGGCCCGGCCTCCCCGCACCCTCCTCAGGCCTCCTGTCCCAGCACTGCGTTCTTGTGACACGAGGTGTCTGCGCGCACCGGCCAGCCGCTGTCCGGCCAAATATAGACATCAAGTCCGTCCTGCCCCGACTGAATTTGGTGGCGCGGGGGAGGGGGCGCAGACCTCGGGTCCCTGGGGAGTCGGCGCCCGCTCCGCTGGCTGCGGTGGCGGCGTGTGCGTGTGCGTGTGGATGTGCGTGTGGGGGGATACCTGGTCCTAGGGCGGACGGGAGGACGCTCACGCTGCGACTTCTCTGCGGAGCGGCCTGGGGATACGCTGGGGGATGAGGAAGGCGTCAGGGCACCGGACGGCTTTCTCTGGGTGTCCAGGGCGTCTGGGGGCCCGGGTGTTGACTGCACGCTCCGGCCACTGCCTGCGGCTGTCCAGCGCCGCGCTCCGCTGCAGTCCCAGCTGCCGCTGCCATCAACTGTAGGGGGCGGGGCCTCCAGAGGGGCGTGGCCAGGGCCAACGAGGCCCCGCCCTATCCAGCGGCGGGGGTGGGGTGGGGTGGGGTGGGGTGGGGGAGCCCAAACTTCCCCTCTCCCCTCCAGCGCCCCCGCCCCACAGTCTAAGCGGCTGGGTAAATCGTCAAAAGTATGTGTGCGCGGGGTTGCGCGCACCCCGTCCTTCTCTCGGGTGCCTCCAGGGCAGCCTGGGGAAGCCCAGGTTCCCCGGCGCGTAGGGAGGCCCGGAGACTGGGGGCGCGTGCCCCTAGAGCCGGCGGCCGCGCGGGATCAGGTGCCTTCGCGCCGCATTCCTGCCGCAATCGCGCTCCCAATTTAGCTCGTCTGGGTTGCAGGGCTGCACGGCCAGGCACCTCTGGGAGGAGGCCCCCGAAGATGCTCTGAGGGAACATCTCAGCCATTGGATGAGGGCTTTGGGTGGCCCACAAGGGGCCGTGAATGCCAGTTATTATTAATAGCAAAAGCGATCATTGGAGAACCTAAACGCCAGTACTGTGACGGGCGTTCCACCCTATGAGAGGACTCACCAAGGAGGGCAGAAAGTAGCTGAGACTCCAGGGAGGGGAGGAAAGTGAACCCACCAGCATGACCTTCCTTTTCCCCTCCCTCCCCTTTCCCTCCCCCTCCTCCCCAGCACCAGGTTCAGGGGGAAGAGAAGAGACTGGCATAAAGTCTTTAGCCACATTTTAGGGGTTAGAGCAGCTAGATGCTTAGCCTAACTCCTAATATCTTCTGGGCCTTGAGTAAGATGGTACCTGTTTGTCCAAGGGAGAGGTCCCAAAGACCAACAGATCCTGAATGTTGTTCAAGGTCAAGGGGATTTTAAAAAAGTAACCTGATCAAAATACAGTGAAGAACAGTCAGTAGTTAGCTGCTGAACACTGATTTCTTTTCTTATGGCAAGGTCCTGGAGGTTATATAAAGTAGGGACAATCACTACGTCCCAGTTTCCAGGGCAAACCTGGAACAGGACACAACCTTCTGGAGGGCACAGACTATCCCTGAGGAAAAGGTGGAAGGAAGATAGTAGGAACCATTGGGGTCCCATAGGTCAGGCTCCTTTTGCTTCCCAGGAAGAGTCCAGGGAAAAAAGAAGCAGAAATTGCTAGATGGTGCTCCAGATATGGCATAGGGGTCTCCATGATGGGGTGTTTTTTTTTTTTAAACCTTAAAACATTCCAGGGGGGCTGGGCACTGGTGGCTCACGCCTGTAATCCTAGCTACTCAAGAGGCTGAGGTCTGAGGATTGCGGTTCAAAGTCAGCCCAGGCAAGAAAGTCCATGAGACCCTTATCTCCAATAAACCACTGGAAAACCTGAAGTGGTGCTGTGGCTCAAGAGGTAGAGCTCTAGCCTTGAGCTGAAGAGCTGAGGGACAGGGCCCAGAGTTCAAGCCCCACAACTGACAAAAACAAAAACAAAAAACACAAAAAAAGGTTCCAGGGGGGAAAAACTCCAGTGATTCACTTACCTTTGATAATAATTCACACTTACCACAAGTAAGGCACTGCTCCAGGGGCTTCACACATATTAATCACATTCTGATAATAAATTCCAGAGATGAATAGCTACCTCTTTTTACAGATGAGGAAACTGAGATAAAATGAAGTAGTTTACCCATCCCTTAACTAGTGGTCAGTGAAGCTGAGATTTTTGCTCCAGGATCTGGCATCTGGGTCTACTACTTCTTGAAAGACAGTGATGCTGTTTCACAAATGTGATAAAATGCCACTTCATCTCAAGTTGTGCTGTGTCACACAAAGGATTGCTTGCATTAATTAGAAAATAGGTTCCATTCCTGACTTAGTCAACTATTTTTGCAGTTTTCTGGGATGTAAAATGAAGACAAGGTCAAGTTGTTTCTAATTTCCTCACTGGTTGGCAAAAGAGAGATTTAACCTTTTGTCTCATACACTGAAATGGTACTCCCTCCCCTTCCCTCAACTATAAAGATGTGGGACTGGTGCCACTGGTGCCAGTGTAATCCTAGTCACTGAGAAGGCTGAGATTTGAGGATCAAAGCCACTTCAGACAAATTCTCAAGACTTTTGATCTCCAATCTTGAGCTAAAAAAGCTAAACAAGAGTACAAGGCCCTGAGTTCAAGTCCTAGTACTGGCACTGATAGAAAAAAATAAGATGAAGCTGGGTGCCGGTAGCTCGCGTCTGTAAATCTTAAGATACTTAGGAGGCTGAGATCTGAGAATTGTGGATAAAAGCCATCCTAGGCAGGAGAGTCCACAAAGACTCTTATCTCCAACACCCCCCCCCCCGCCCCCCCCCACACATACAAAATCTAGAAATGGAGTTGTGAGGGCTGGGAAGGTTGCTCAGTGGTAGAGTGTTTGCCTTGCATGCATGAAGCCCTGGGTTCGATTCCTCAGCACCATATAAGCAGAAAAAGCTGGAAGTGGTGCTATGGCTCAAGTGGTAGAGCGCTAGCCTTGGGCTGAAGAGCTGAGGGGCAGTGCCCAGGCCCAGTGTTCAAGCCCCATGACCGATAAAAGAAAAAAAATGGAGCTGTGGTTCAAGTGGTAGAGCACAAGCCTTGAGCATACCACCCAGGCCCAAAGTTCAAGCCCCAGGACTAGCAAAAAAAAAAAAAAAAATGAAGTGTGGGATCAGGAAATTGGAATTCTAGTTCATCCAGCCTTTAGTTCCATCATCTGGGAAGAGGGCTAGGGACTTGAAGGTCTAGCCACTAGGCCTGCCGGAGCTTGGGTGGAGTTAAGGATGAAGAACCTATCAGGTGAAGAAGCCACTTGTGTTTGGTGCCTCCCCTTAAAACTTTTAGCTGGGCTCTGAACTGTATGCAACCCAATTTCAATTCATGAAGCCATTTTCTGGTAGAGGTGACCTGGTAACTTAGTAATAATTTGGTCCACTTGTTTTAGCTAGAAAGCCAAGACTAAGTTTTGTTAGAGACTCCAGAACTCTTAGAATATTTTATGAAATGACCATACCTTCACCATGCACTCCCTTTAGGGACTTAAAACAAATAGCTCATCCCACTGATTCAGAGCCGGGCGCTGGTAGTTCTCGCCTATAATCCTAGCTACTCAGGAGGCTGAGATCTGAGGATCACGGTTCAAAGCCAGCCCAGGCAGGAAAAGTCCGAGAGACTCTTATCTCCAATAAACCACTCAGAAAACTGGAAGTGGTGCTATGGCTTAACTGGTAGAGTGTTAGCCTTGAGCTGAAATGCTGAAGGACAGCGCCCAGGCACAGAGTTCAAGCCCCATGACCAACCAAAAAAAAAAAAAAGAAAGTATTTTTCTTTTTGAAGCATGAGCAGATTTGACAATTGAGGAAATGATTGTCTCTAGGTAGTAGTGCTCTTATATGCAAATAGCATCATTAAACATCTCACAATGGAACAATGGAAAAGTGGGTGGACCCTGGGTTGGAAAAGTTGAAGTGGGGACTCAGTCTCCAGCTCATTTGTCAGAACTGTTCTTTGGCTCTTTGTCCCTCCAGTACCACATCATAGATTCTCTTTTACTGGTGGGAGAGAATGGAAGCTTTTACTTCTTTGGAAATTCATGCACCCTTTCAGTGAGCTGAGGTGCCCTGCGCTGAAAGCTTGCTAATTCTATTTCACCAGTGTCCAGAGAGGTCACTCACCCACCAATTTCAGTCTCTGCTAGGTCACTGCAGCTGTTCCAGATCAGTCACTTTGCACCACAGATGGCAGAGGCATTTTGGTCTTTTTGCTAATTTATTCTCTTAACATTCAGGTGGCAACTTTGGCAAATGCCTCTTTGACCAGACAAGTTCCCGAATCCCACTGTCTGGAATACCTTTTTTTTTTTTCTGGTCATGGAGCTTGAATGCTGTCCCTCAGCTCTTCAGCTCAAGGCTAGCCCTCTACCACTTGAGCCACAGCACCACTTCTTTTCCTGCTTATGTGGTGCTGAGGAATCAAACCCAGGGCCTCATGCATGCAAGGCAAGCACTCTACCACTGAGCCACCTTCCCAGCCCCTGGAATAATTTTTAGTGATTCTATCTCCTATCCAGTTTTTGTTGTTGTTGTTTTTTACTTTGTGAAGATAGAAGGTTCTATCTTTCCTATAGAGTTCTTCAGGGTGTGCTTGGTTGGGATCTGTTATCATTGCTCTCCTCTTCTAACCCTTCGACCTTCTCCAGTACCCCTCCCCCTTTGTTGTTTTTAAAGAAACACAAGTTTCGTCTTCAAAATAAAAATTTATTCAGTCTGTAACAAGAACATTGAATCTGCACATTTGCGCACAAGTTCACATTTAAAAACAGCGGAGCACATCAGTAATAAAAAAACTCTATGATACAAGTGGAACATCCCAACCACCAGGAAGATTAAGGAAGGAGATGAGACCACTCTATATTCTGCTTCAAATGCCTCGAAAAGGCCCCAGAGATTCCAGGGAGCACCTGCTTTAGTTAATAAAATGTGAGCATAAAAGTTTGGGTAGCTTGGGGGGCAAAGGTAACAGTCAGTGGGAGAGTCTTCTGGACTTGTTTTTCATGTTTAGAACAAGTCCTACAAAGTAAAGTTAAAAAAATAAAAGAAAAAAGAAAAGGCACCTTTAGCTATGCCAAGCAAATCAAAAGCCAACAAAGCATAAAACCCAAACAATTCCAGGTGGGCTTATTGATTAGGAGGCATTTCAGGGTCAGTTCCCCAGTTTTCAGTTTGGGTCGTCAGCTTGAGTTAAGCACTGGGTACAACTCTGCATGCATACACAGGACGCGGCCACCAGCATCTCTTGAGGACACGATGGCAGTACCAGTCCTATACCTCTTGGGAGAATCTTCAAGCTGATAAGGATGATTCCAGTTTAGAAATCCTTTCCTAGATCTCTGGGGCATTGAGAAGATGAGGCTGGTTCTCTTTTCATAGCTGAAGCTAGGCCCAGCTATCCTCCACTTCCAGGCTGAAAAAAAATACAGAAGCACCTTGCAACAGCTCAGCATGGCGTCAAGGGACCTCAATCACTGGGAGGAAGGAGTGTGCAGCTTCCATCTTTGGAAGCAGGCCTTTTCCTAATACAGGTATGTTGGATGAGTTGAGGCCACAAATACACTTATGTCTAATACATGCTTTGATCTTGTAGTTCAGAAGGGAAAAAGTCCACAATGAAGTTGGATGATGCTGAAAACTAAATTTCATCTTGTCCACCATCAAAAAAGCAAAATTAAACAAAACATACTACCCATTCACCATTTTGACCATCACTATTAAGACACACCACCACTTAGGAAGTTATGACTGTTGGATGAGATACAGGATACAGATGGTAGTCAGCTCCAGGCTTTACCCACTTATCCACAAGGGCTGACATTATGGCATTGCTCTGAGTGAGGACTCACAGGACAGTCAGGGCCTGGGTGCCTGGAGGACTGAGTGGCCAATGAGATGATGCATATTTTAATACTCACAATGTAAACAAAGTATCAATAAATTGTCTGAAAAAGCCAAAAATGGCTTTATTTGAAAATGCCCTTAAAATTGACTCTTTGCATAATGCTTTCTTAGGAAAATAAAAACCCCAAAACCCAACAGTTACTTCCACAAAACATCTTTACTCAACTAGATCACTTCATAACTGAAAAAATTTCAGGTTTACCCAAAAATTGGGGCCCATGAGCAGGAGGGGACCTCAGAGCCCAGGCTGTAATCCTCAGGCTGTCCCTGGAGTTCTTGTTAGTTTCCCAAATGAGGAAATACCATTTGGGACAAAGGTACAGAATGAGGAAAACATTAAAGAGCTTGCTAAGGCTGAGATGTTAGGAATGATCCCAAAACATGTTTAGATAGAATTTGAATGGCAACTAAAAGGGGGAGAGATGATCACTACCTTACAACAGTACTAGGTGTCTACTATAGTACACACTACTGCTAAGTGTTTCTGAAAATTAAGATGCAATGGGGTTTCTCTCCTACTGATCAGGTAACCATCCAAGTACAACTCTAATCCATGTGCTCTGGGGCTTTTACCCCATGCACTGAAATGTCACAACTTTTGTATGCACGTGTCCAGTTGTGCAAGCATGCACACACAAACATTCCCCCCAAGTTACTGAGATACTATAGTGATTTAAAAAAAAAGAAAGAAAAAGAAGTCCTGAGCAAGAGGACAAACACTAGACAAGAGGTCAAAGTTTTCCTGCTCAGCACTGTTAATTTGCCAAACCTGATGGCCTTTTCATGAACAGAAGAGAGAAACAGACCACCTGAAATTATAAAAAAACTTTGGAGAGACTGCAAAGTCCTTTATGCAGTTCATTATATGCACTTATCCTCGACATTTACTCAGCTATGTACATCACTCATGAACACCCAAATGTGGGTGGTTAGAGGCTGGCAAGACCCCTTGGCATGGCTGGATCATAAACTCTGTAAAGATGTTTATTTAGGCAGGTAAGTTAAATGGTAAAAAAAAATGGAATAATAAAAAAGGCAGGCAGAGCAAGACTTTCTTCCATTCTTTAAAAGAGTAGCTTGGGTTTTAAATTTTTTCCTCACAGCATTAGGGGGTTTCCTCCCAGTCTCTACTGTATGAGCATTAAACACTGGAAGGTGAGAAGAGGGAATAGTGTCCTGTTGTTGATACTGCTTGTAGTTTTTTAATGTGTGGGACACTGATGCCACTCAACCGCCATTCAAATCCTTTCCTTCCCATCCCTGCCATACTTTCTTGTCCTTTTTCCAACAAACTGGTAGTGGGAGTTCCTCCACAAGACAGCATGCTTTAGATGGATGAGCCCTGGAATTGATCACTCTGTCTCACAAGTCTACTTGAACTGGTATAAATCACCTAACAAAAACCTTAACAACACATGAATATCCAGCAACCACAACGCACCGATATTTAAGGAAACTACTGAAAGGACGGCACAGGGACACATGACTACGCGACCATACACTTTTTAGCAGGGGTTCCTGTCCAACCTGCCTCCTGGAAGTGATATCAGACCCTTATAGATTCTATATGGTAAATGGATCCATTTGCTCTGAAACACTTGCTTTAAAAGGTGGCCTGGGTCCACTTTTTTTCTGTATCCTACCTATTTGCACTCCAAACCCTGGCCTCTGACATCACGTTGACAGTCTATACATCCATCTTTTTCTCTCATTGCTATGATGAATCAAAAGGCTAAGTCTCACATTTGTACTCAGCCAATCCTCAACAATGTGGACATCAACCAAAGAAGACAGGAAGCAAATTTGCAACCTCTTCAGTTTTGATGAGCTATGTTGGGAGTTTCATTCCAGGCTAAATTTGTTTTCTGTAAGCAGCTCAAAGTGGCTTGCTTATGGCAGGCGCTCCTGTGTTAAGGATCTTCACAACAGCAGCAAAGCAAAGGTATCCTAAGTGGACTCATTATGGGTGTTTACTCTTGGCTGAGGACTCCTCAGTGGCCTCTCAGTCTTCATTAGGAGCTTCTACCCTAGGGAGCACGCGTGCGTGCACAAAAATGCATGCACACGCACACGTACACACCTCCCTGGCTGTGCTTCAGATACTGGCAAATGACATCTCAAACACAAATCAGTCTTCAGCTATGCTGTGATCTAATGGGAATGGAGCTGGAGGTTAGAAGTCTCTTTAAACAATTAAAACTGCCATCAATATGCTGTGCAGATTCCTACCAACAACTATCAGTTTTATTTCTGGTGTTTCTGTGTGTTTTCCAGGTGCAAGTCCTTCTTACAAAAAAAAAAAAAAAGGGCCCACAATATCAACAGCAAAACATTAAGAAAGTGACATTATATACATAAATACTGTGTATAAACTTTAGTGAAATGACAAACTTTCCAGGAAAAGGAAAAAAACCATATCAAAAAAAAATTACGTCAAGTGTTAACAGTGAGAATGTAGAAAACTTTGCATTCAATGGAGGTTATAATATATAATGTAACAATTCAAATATAACCCATGAAATTAAAAAAATGGGCAGGATGGGCAAACAGCAAGGGGGAGGAAAATAAATTGGGAAAAATGTGGCCATAAACTCAGAAGACCTACAGAATTATTCAAGTAATGGAAGGGTTAAAACCCTACATAGTTAGCCTTTGTACAAGAACACTTGAACTTTTGATTGCTGTTTTCCAAACCAGTCCCCCTGTGTTTTAGTTGGAGGCTGCTGCAAGTCACATGTCAGCAAAGTCGGATAGATGACCACCTGTGTGCATCCTGCAACTCAGCAAGTATTGGGTAGCAGCCGATCTGTCAGGTTTCAATTGAGGTTCCTTTTAATTTTTTTCTTGGGGGAAAAAAGTATATGCTTGATAAATTTATAAAAGCAGCCACATTATTTTGCCTTTCTGTAATGACAGACTCTAGAACACCAGAAGCAAGCAAAGTAGAGCCAGGGCTGGTGGAGCATGCCTGTAATACCAGTACTTGGGAGGTGGAGGCTAGCCTGAGCTACACAGTAAGACCCTGTCTAAAAGAAGCAAAGTGGAACCTTCCCATTTTAAGAAGTCCCAGAGCAAGGCCTGGAGATGAAGGCTGAGAACACCGACTTCCCAGTTACCCTTCAGCCCATTCAATGCCTCAGGCTTGGGGAACATTTCCATTTCTCAGCTTCAGTGCCACCCTTCCCATCTGCTTTCTTCCCTCAATAAAATTAAAATCAAGCATGCTTTTTCTCAGAGGGCAAAATGAAGAGCAGGTGGCAGTTGATTGAAAAACAGCAATTTGCCTTTGATAAAGGTGTTCTTTGAAAAATGTTTTTTTTTGAGGTTTGAATTTTTTAAAAATGAAGAGTGATAACGGTCTTGCCATCTAAGTCAATCTGTCTCTCTCTCTCTCTCTCTACACACACACACACACACACACACACACACACACACACACACACACACACACAGAAAAACCCAAACCCTGCATGTGCCAGGAACAGTAAAATGACAGAAATATTATAAAATTAACCAATAAAGTGCATGTTCCTTACATATTACACCTGCCCCTTTTACAAACATTTTTCTTAGAAAATCACATGTATAGGCTCAGAATCACATGGTGTTATAGAAGGGGTTGGTTGTCCGTTTTTTATCATTTGCCCTTTTCAGTCTCCTAAGGGGGTGAGTTCTGCCATGTTGCTGACGGGGTGCCACGGCCAGCCCTGGAGCTGAGCCTGCGCACTGCAGTTCCTGGGTCTGGAGCAAAGGAAGGCCTCCTTCGGAATTAGTCAATTCTGGCCCTGCCCTGGGGAGCAAACACTGCTGACTGTAACCAAATTCTTTGGCATACTGCACAAGGGGCCTCTCCACTGGCTTGCTCTGTGCAATACACTCTGATGTTCTGAGTTGCTCTACAAAATACTTGGTAGGCTCTGGGTTCTGAGGGGCACCTGGGTTTTCTGGTGGCTCCTGGGCCTCTATGGCATGCATGCCTGAGTCTGTTCTGATGAAGGGCTGAAGCAGTTTGAGATGAGTGGATTCAGAGGAGAGGGGCTCTCTCTCTGGTAAGCAGTCTTTACAAAGGTCCAGGTAACCTAACTTGGCGAGGGAGGCTGAGCGCCTCATTTGGGATGGTTTGGTTAGCCCTGTCTGGAAAACCACTCTAGATTCAATTTCTTTAGCACGCTCCTTCACCACACCAGGGATGTGGCTGAGACCCTTTACATTTTCACTAGGGCTATGTGGGAGGTGACAGACTATAAGTGATGAATCCAGTTTTTTCTGTAACTCCCCAACATTGTCACTGAGTTTGCTAATTAAACTTAGATCTTCACTACTTGACTGGGAGCCCCTGTGTAGCATTTCATTGCCACTGGAGGCAGGGCTCCTTTGGCTTTCTTGCCAGTTAAGCTGCTCTGCAGAGGGCTCACTGTCTGTGGTGCTGCTTTGTTCTGTGCAGCCTTCCAGGTGAACCATGGTCTGGGGATGCAGGTAATCCACGCTGGCAGGTGGTATGTGGGTTGTATGACTGACAAAAGGTGCTATTGTCTCTAAGGTTGTAGATGGGCTATTGTCCGGATCTTCAGGGCTTCTCGGCATGAAGGTCAAGTCAGTGGGCCTGTCATACTCAGGAGAGGAAAAATGAGGCAGAGGTAGCAATTGGGAGTGCAGAGAAACCTGGTTGGGGTCTAAAGTTCTGTTCAGATTTTCATCCAGGGCACAGAGCATAGTGATTGACTTCTCTACCTTCACTTTCCTTAGTCCTTGCTCCTCCTCTTCTTCTCTGGAGGCTATTTCACCCCCTAGCCCTGTATGATCAAGTGATGTAACTGTGTGGGTATACTCAATGATTTCTATCCTTTTTGGAAGGGGCATAGGGATGGCTTGTGTTTCAGATGCTTGGTGAGAAATCACAGTCCTGTGCTCCTTCAGGACTCCATCCTGTTTTGTTCTAGTATCTGACCCTGGGAACTCTTGAGTAGAAGGGAAGGGGTGATACTCGGGAAGCTGGGGAGTTGGAACAATGGCATTATGTTCACAATGGGATAGTGAGCTAGCTTCAGACCCACCGCATTTCCCTTTGCCCTTGCTCATCTCTCGTTCCTTAGGGGCAAATGAGTATTCTGAGATGACTTCATCATTTTTCCCTTTCGGTGCTAGGTCTGCCATAGAAGAATCATTTTTAGAATTCTTGCGAGTGGACAATGAGGTACACACAGGGCTAGTACCATGGTGCTCCTGCTCCTGTCGTAAGCGCTCTTCAAACTCTAGGGTGGCTCTCCTCACAGATCCAGGGCACCATTTGGCACCAGGATGCATCCCTGGGCCCCAGAGTTCATGTTCCCCTTCAGCTAGGTTCTCTTCTTCCAAGTCTGCCATGGCTGAGTGTATGGTTAGGCAGCCTTCTGGGTTGTACTTCCCTGAGTCTTTGTCTAGTCCAGGCTGGGCTGTGTAGTAACTCTCATCCTGCTCCACATGTCCAGGCTTGTTTTCAGGGCTCTGGGCTCTCTCAAGCTCATGGATGGTGTTCTTCTTTGGTGTATGGCATGGGTTGGACAGGATGTCTCCTCCTTTCAGTGGAATCTGTCCAACTCCTTGACTGATAGACTCAATTTCGGTGACAATTTCTTTGACTGAAATTGCATTTTCTGAGTGAGATTGCATGAAGATATCTGGGCTGACCAGTTCTGAGATTGCCTGAGAAGAGAAAGTAGCAAGATGAGCATGGAAAGTTGTAGCTTATCTGAAAGTGTTCTGCTTCTTCATTCTCTGATCCAAGACAATCTATCTAGCTATGAGAACACAGTCAAGGTCCAGGATCATACTGCCCACTATTTTGTCAGGCAATAAGGAAAAGGACAGAGAATAAAAAAATTCACTGTAAGTCATAAAACTGCTTAGTAAATTTTCTGGTCTGTTCATTTAGACAGAATTCTAATCTAGTACCTTGCTCTAAAATAAACAGCACATGGCTTTGGAATCACTTAGAATCCATATTTTCCTAGTTCTCAGCTTTCAGCACTCAGGTCATGCTGAGGTAATGAAACCTTTCTCTTCTGACTGATCAACTTCCAGTTCAATCCTAACCTGCTCAGGGTGAAGGCCCAAAGCTTAGTGGCCAGCTCGGGTATGCCTAACATGAAACAGGGCAAGATGGATGTGGCTGTTGTCTGATCTCTGATTTGGAGATCCACTGCTCTCTTCTCTCTAGCTTTTTTCATCCATATCCTTCCATTGCTTCTCCAAGTAGCAGCTTCTCAGAACATGAAAGAGCAGAAGAAAACACTGTCTGACCACATAATCCCTAAATTTCACATGGGAAATTTATTCACCCACATGCTTCAGCACACTTAGAAATAATCACTCTTTAACAACTTAACCAGTTCAAAACTCTTGAGCTGGTATTGGAGCTTGTTCTCCTCACTTGGCTTTTTTGTGTAGGGCTGGTGCTGTACCACTTGAATCATACTGGCTTTTTGCTGGTTAATGAGAGATAAGAGTCCTACCGGGCTGGCTTTGAATTGTGATCCTGAGACCTCAGCCTCTTCAGTAGTTAGGAGTGCCACCAATTCCTGGCAAAAGCACTTTTTTTTTTCTGTGTGTGCCAGTACTGGTGGTGCTTTTCTTTTTTTTAAATTAATTTTATTTTATTTGTGAACATACTGTACAGAGGGGTTACAATTACATGGGCAGGATAATGCGTACATTTCTTACCAAGCATAGCAGCCTCCTCCTTTGGTTTACCCTTCACATCCCTTCCCAGCCTCCCCCCTCCCCCCCAATCCTTCTCCTTCCCCCCCCTTTCTTCCCCCCCCCCTCCGGTGGTGCTTTTCCTTCCAGTTCAAAACTGATAGATGATGATAAGATGTCAGCTGAGTACTAAGTGGCTCATGCCTGTGATCCTAGCTACTCAGGAAGCTGAGATCTGAGGATCACAATTCAAAGCCAGCCTGGGCAGTAAAGACTGTGAGTCTCTTACCTTCAATTAACAGCCCCTCCCTCCCCCAACACACACACAACAAGGCTGGTAGCAGAGCTGTGGCTCAAGTGGTAGAGGGCTAGCCTTGAGCAAAAAAGCTCAGAGATGGGCTAGGAATGTGGCTTAGTGGTAGAGTGCTTGCCTAGCACACATAAAGCCCTGGGTTTGATTCCTCAGTACCACATAAACAGAAAAAGCCAGAAGCGATGCTGTGGCTTAAGTGGAGAGCACTAGTATTGAGCACAGAGAGGATCACGGACAGATCCCAGGCCCTGAGTTCAAGCCCCAGGACCAGCAAAAAAAAAAAAAAAAAAAAAAAAGAAAAAAAAGAAAAAAAAAGAAAAGCAAAAAAGCAAAAAAGCTCAGGGACAGTGCCAGAACCTGAGTTTGTGCCCAAGGACTGGCAACAACAATAACAACAAAGAACAAGATCCAAAGAAAATTAGCCGATGCAAAATCAGGTCTTATTAGTATGATTATCCATTTTGTTAATATTTTAAAATAAAACTTTGAAGTAAAATATTTTCCTAGGAATCAATCTGGTTTGAATTGTAATACAAACTAACAAGGTCAGTTTTGACTTTAGGGGGAAATTTGTCAGAACATCAGGTAGAGGTGGACTTGCCAAGACTGGAGAGAAGCCACAGCAGGCCTGGTGTATGCAGGGATCTTGGAAAGAGTACTCATATGACCAAGGATACTGAAGGAAGGCTATTTCTGTAATTCCTCCTGCACTGTTTAATACAAAAGAAGAGCTCAAGCATTCTGACTTCCCAGCAGAAACAAAACAGTATTAGCTTTTGGGAAAGGAAGGAGACAGATGAAGCAGTCAGAAGAGTTGCCTTGTGCTGGTTACTTAAGCTGGTAGCTCATACCTCTAATTATGGCTACTCAGAAGGCTGAGATCTGAGGACTTTGGTTCAAACCCAGCTGGGACAGGAAAGTCTGTGAGACTCCTCTACTTAATAACAAGAATAACAAGCTTGAAGTGGAGCTCTGGCTTAAATGGTAGAGCATTAGCTTTGAGCAAAAAAGTTCAGGAACCACATGGTAGCATATACCTGTAATCCTAGCAATTGGGAGTCTGAGACAGGAGGATTATAAATTTGAGGCCAGGTTGAGTTACATAGCAAGACTGTCTCAAAAAAGAGAAAAAGAGGCTGGGAAGGTGCCTCAGGGGTAGAGTGTTTGCCTTGTATGCATGAGGCCCTAGGTTCTATTCCTCAGCACCACATAAACAGAAAAAGCAGGAAGTGGCCCTGTGGCTCAAGTGTTAGAGCGCTAGCCTTGAGCTGAAGAGTTGAGGGACAGCCCCCAGGCCCAGAGTTCAGGCCCATAACCCACCAAAACAAAACTGAAAGACAATTTTTTTTTGTGTGTCTATCTGGGCTTGAACTCAAGGCCTGAGCACTCTCTAGCTTTTTTGTTCAAGGCTAGTACTCTACTATTTGTGCCAGTTTCATTTCCAGCTTTTTGGTGGCTAACTGGAGACAAATGTCTGATTGAGTTTCCTGCCTGGGCTGGCTTAGAACTACAACCCTCAGATCTCAGCCTCCTGAGCAGCTAGGATTAGAGGTGTGAGCCACCAGTGCCCAGCTCAGAAAAACTTTTTTTTTTTAATGATATATACTATTTTTTCCCTGGTGGGAGGTGGCACTTAGGAATCTTAGGATTGTTTTTCTTTCTTTTCCTTCTTTTCTTCCTTCCTTTCCTTCCTCCCTCATTTCCCTTTCCCTTTCTCCTTTCCTTTCTCCTCCCCTTTCCCCTCCCCTCCCCTTCCCTTTCCTTTTTTTGGAGTCAGTCCTGGGGCTTGAACTCAGGGCCTGGGCATTATCCCTGAGCTTCTTTTGCTCAACGCTAGCACTCTACTGAGCCACAGCACCACTTCTAGCCTTTTCTGTTTATGTGGCATTGAGGAATTGAACCCAGGGCTTCATGCATTCTAGGCAAGTAGTCTACCACTAATCCACATTCCTAGTCCCCAGGAATCTTAGGAAATCTGTCTGCTTTTAAATTCATTTCCTTAAACTAACCCTTTATTCTTGAGTGCCACAGGGATGGAGATGAAGAACTCAAAAACATAATTAGTAGCAAGAACTCATATGAGAATAAGTTGCTACTCCAACAACTATTTAGAAATGTGGATTTTCTGACTCAAAAAGAGTTTCCCAAACAAATCCAACATCCTCAGGGAGACAGAGGTCTCAACTCAGCCTCTGAATCATGGTGAGATTTGATCTGAACTGCTGAGGTCTACAGAGGAGATCTTGTTAGCCCATATATATATGTATGTGTGTGTGTCTGTGTATACACATATATGTGCATAATTTAAAAAATATTCAAAAATTGAAATATTTTAAATAAAAAGTATTTGAAAATATTTAAAACCTAAGTTTTCAAGGAATATCTCAGCCAGACTGAAGACTGCCTCCCTAAATCTTCATTGATGTCAAAGATAAAGTCAAGACTGGAGTATAGCTTAGTGGTATAATGCTCACTGAGCATGTGTGAGGCATTAGTCTGAACTCAAGCACTACAGAAGAAAAAAAGGAAGTCAACAGAACACTATATAATAGTTTATCTTTGGTTTTTACCTTTGACTGTTCCTCATCCACTGAAGATTCTTCAGACACATGGGGAGTATTACTCAAAGAGCTGCTTTTCTGGTCATCAGCAGTCACTTCAGAAGGGACTACTTCTACCATTGACAGCCGACAGCCTTCACTCCTGCCTCCACTAAGCTCCTCCATCCTTGAGTGAGAAAAAGATCGAGACCGGGTTTCTTGAGAGAGTTCTACAAACTTCTCCAGGGCACTAAAAAAATCAATGCGATCTGTACTGAAATCTGAGATTTCAGCCTGGCAACTGGTTTGGGGGCTAGGTGACTCAGGATCAGGGGACATGGGGAGGTCTTTAAGTCGAGATGTCAACTCTTCCATCGGCAGTAAGTGGACGTTCATGTCTGCTTTCAGTGCATCTGTCTCCAAATCTTCCACTGTTAAGTCTGGGAACTTGTTGACCATTTCTGGGGCCTGTCCAGGTTGGATTAAGGCTTTGGATGCATGGCAGTTGTCAAGAGGGAATTTTGATTCACTGAGACAACATCCTGATGAGCATCCATTGATGTCATTTAAGTTTAATTCATCTTCAATCTGTCCAGCATGAAATTCCCTAGAAGTGAACTCCAAGCAGATCATTCTTTCTTTGGTACACAGGCCTTTCTGATTTGCATCTTGTGGGACCACATGTTCCACAAAGACAGGAGGTATGGATGGGTGATTCTCCAAGGTTTTCACCTCTGCAATCTGGTCTGCTGAGGTGGTGATCTCCTTCTTGTTGAGTTCCAGCCCAGGTTTGCAGATGGGTTCATGGTGGTCTGAGAGGTCGCTATCTGAATGGGATCTCCAGAGCTTGTTATGCCGCTGTTTGCTATGGAGGACATACAGGAAACATCTTATTCTACTTTGTTAAAAATAGTTAACTTCCTAGGAAAATCCCCCCACCCTCTTTTGTGCTAATACTGGTGTTTGAACTCAGGGCCTTGTTCAATGGTGGCTTTTTAATCACAGCTGGTACTCTACCACTTTAGCCACGCCCAAGTTGTTTTTTTGCTGTTTAATTGGAGACAAGAGTCTCATATGATTCCCAGACTGGCTTTAAAGTGTGATCTAAATTCTTAAGTAGCTAGAATTACAGGCATGAGCCATTTGTGGCCAGTGACAAACTTAAATCTTAACCTGAAAAATGCTTTGGTACTGCTCAATGGGGCAATGCAATAAACATTTCAAAAGATGCTTTTAAAATTAAAAAAAACAAAATCAAAGTGAGACAATAGTAACAATAAATTCATTAGCCTGGATTTTTTTTTTGTCAGTTGTGGGGCTTGAACTCAGGACCTCGGTGCTGTCCCTGAGCTTTTTGTTCAAGGCTAGCACTCTTCTACTTTGAGCCACAGCTCTACTTCCAGGTTTTGGGTAGTTAATTGGAGATAAGGGTCTCCTGGGCTTTCCTGCCCTGGGTGGCTTTGAACTACGATCCTCAGATCTCAGCCTTCTAAGTAGCTAGGATTATAAGTGTGAGCCCAGTGAGCCTGGATTTTTTTTAACCTATCAGACTGACAGAAGCTAAAACTATTGGTAACAGCCACTGTTGATAATAATATGGCCAAGTGACCAAGTAAGCTAGCTGTCTCATATACTGTGGGTAGGAGAGTAAAATGCAGACTTTTTTTTTTTTTTTGCTAAGTCATGGGGCCTGAACTCTAGCCTGGGCATTATCCTTCAGCTTTTCAGCTCAAGGCTAGTACTCTACCTTGAGTCACAGCACCACTTCTGCCTTTTTTTCATTAATAGTGGTGCTGAAGAATCAAACCCAGGGCCTCATGTATGCAAGGCAAGCATTCTACCACTGAGCCACCTTCCCAGCCCTAGACTTTTTTTTTGGTTGGTCGTAGGGCTTGAACTCTGGGCCTGGGTGCTGTCCCTCAGCTCTTCAACTCAAGGCTTTCACCCTACCACTTGAGCCACAGCGCTACTTCTGGTTTTCTGGGTGGTTTATTGGAGATAAGAGTCTCACAGACTTTCCTGCCCAGGCTGGCTTTGAACCGTGATCCTCAGATCTCAGCCTCCTGAATAGCTAGGATTATAGGTGTGAGCCACTGGTACCCTGAGAAATGTAGACTTTTTAATTATCAAATCTGACAATAGCTCTCCAAATCTAACCCTTTAACAAACAAGTTTTTCTTGGAGAAATATTGTAACTATGCAACTATGTAAATACCAGAATATTTATCATGTTGTTTATGATGCTGAAAAATTAGATACTGAAAAACAATTTAACTAAGTTCTAGTCTTTTAAAACTACTATGAGGTTATTTAGTCATGTTTTTTTAGTGGAATGATGTCCAATGTGTACTATTAATGAAAAAGTATATTGAACATATTTGGAATGGTCAGTTTCCAAACTGCTGATTCTTTCAAGGAAGACAGAAATCTCCCTGGGGAAGGTTATTACTTAGTATATTCCATGTTTGTGGAATATACTGGGCACTGTACCTAAATGTTTGTGTGCAAGAGCTCTACCACTTGAGCAACAGCTCCACTTGTGGCTTTTTGGTGTTGAATTTGAGGTAAGAATCTCATGGACTTTCTCAGCCTCCTGAATAGCTACAATTGTAGGCACAAGTCACCAGCACCTAGCAAGATTAATTTTTAATTAAAAGAAAGAGCATGTTTAATAATTAGAATGAGAAAAATATCTCAAATCAAAACAATATACCAATCATACAAGGAAATACTCTATTGGAGCTTATTACCAACTGCTTGTAATTGGGAATGAAGAACTTTAGTATGATTTGTGGCTATTGTGGAAGTGTGAGGAGGATGGTGATCACTCTTGAATTAGAAAACAAAGGTGGGAAAAAAAAAGAAAACAAAGGTAGGGCAAGTAAATTTGGACAATGGTTTCTACAGAATGAAAAGATGGGCATAGGCTGGGAAGTTGGCTCAGTGGTAGAGTACTTGCCTTGCATGCCTGAGGTCCTGGGTTCGATTCCTCAGCACCACATAAGCAAAAGGAAAAAAGCCAGAAGTGGTGCTGTGGCTCAAGTGGTAGAGCACTAGCCTTGAGCTGAAGAGCTGAGGGACAGCACCCAGGCCCAGAGTTCAGGCCCCACGACCGGACTCCCCCAGCCCCCTCAAAAAAAGAAAAGAAAAAATGGGCATAAAATACAGGCCATTTTTCATAAGGATGTTAGGCCTCCTTTTACCCACCTGTTTTCCAAGTACAGGTAGATAAAAGGAGGCCTTCTCTTCCATCCCTCAAAACTACTGGATCTCCATCTTTTGGTTACTTTATGAAGAGAAAATCTGAGGTGGGTATGAGTCTGTAGCTCATTTCAAACACATACTCACAGGAAGCACAATTCCCAAAACACGGGCCCTAAAGAGAAAGCTGGCTGTGTTATTAGTGACCAGAGACGAGGTCACTAAGGTGTTTGGGTGGGGTGCGGTCTCATGACTTCCAAGCCAATGAACAGTTACCTAATTGCTGGGCCTAAAACAATTTTCCTCAGGCTCAGGGCCACACCCGGCACTGCTGAGTCATACCCTGTACTAATGTGACCCCATTTCTTCTTAATTCTGCACCTGTTCTCAGTTCCCCATCTGTCTGCTGCTAGCATGGGGGCCCTCTCAGATTCTTGTCTAGAGGGGTGCTTTCTTGAGTAGGGAGCAGACTGTTTATGAAGACAAGCTGTAATCAATTAGCTAGGGTTTTCACCTTTTCCAAGCTGCAAGAACTGCAGTCACCCCTAGGAGGAGACAACCTATCACACATCAAGCAAGTAGGTGGCTGGGAAAAGAGACTGCCTGGGCCTAAGTTATGAAAAACCAAAGCCAGTGTGCTTCCTTTTTAAGATTCTTCTTTTATATCCATACATACCTACACATGACCCTGTTCCCTAACTTCTTTGTCACTTATCTTCTTTTATATCCATACATACCTACACATGACCTTGTTCCCTTACTTCTTTGTCACTTATTAGTGAGGTTGCTGAAAACTGCACTACCTCTTCTTGCTACTGTGACTGGGCTAGACAACTGAGAAGGCAACTATTCTCCTTCTAATAATATAAAGAGCAACCTGATTTTATCAATCAACAGGCAAATGATAAGTTCCCATGATCCCAAGAGTCCTACAAAGTATAGGTTTTCAAAAAATGTCTTCAAATCATTCATTAGTTAAGAGGGAATGAGAGACTGAAATTTTGCTAATGAGCATAAACACTGTATGTTTCAGAAGTAGCTCACCTCACTAATATGCTGTTCAGGAGGGATTTCCTTCTCTTGGTGGGATATGTGGGAAGGGGGAGATAATCACCAGAAAGCCCCACTGGGTGGGGCTCTGGAATCAAACTGGAACCCACTAAGGATAATGAAGGAGAAGTTCCAGCCTAAAGATGGTCTGAGGCTACTATCTTTTCCATTTTTGCAAATAGACCTGCAGGGAGAGTAGTAGGCAGCTCTCCCATAGAGTCCACTCATTTCTTTTTTTTTTTTTTTTGTTGGTCATGGGGCTTGAACTCTGGGCCTGGGCGCTGTCCCTCAGCTCTTCAGCTCAAGGTGAGCGCTCTACCACTTGAGCTACAGCGCCACTTCCGATTTTCTAGTGGTTTATTGGAGATAGGAGTCTCACCGTCTTTCCTGCCCGGGCTGGCTTTGAACCGCATTCTCAGATCTCAGCCTCCTGAGTAGCTAGGATTACAGGCGTGAGCCACCGGCGCCTGGCCGAGTCCAGTCATTTCTATTGCTGCTAAAGCACTACTACTTCGGGCTGGGAAGGTGGCTCAGTGGTAGAGCACTTGCCTTGCATGCATGAAGCCCTGGGTTCAATTCCTCAAAAAAAAAAAAAAAAAAAGCCAAAAGTGGTGCTGTGGCTCAAGTGGTAGAGCGCTAGCCTTGAGCTGAAGAGCTGAGGGACAGCGCCTAGGCCTAGAGTTCAGGCCCATCACTGGACCCCCCAAAAAAATAAAAATAAAGCACTACTACTTCTCTGAGGATAACTTCCTTCTGGAATTTTGGGTTCATCATTCTTTCTTTGAAGTGTCACTACATATTTTGTTTTTAACAATATATTGTTTAGTTTTACATGTTTTGAACTTTATATAAGTGAAATCTTACTATATATTTTTTCTACACTAACATTGTTTTAAAGATTCATCATTATAGCTGGACATAGGTGGCTCAAACCTGTAATCCTAGCTACTCAGGAGGCTGAGATCTGAGGATCGCAGTTCAAAGCCAGGCCCCACAGGAAAGTCTGTGAGACTCATCTCCAATTAACCACCAGAAAACTGGTAGTGGCACTGTGGCTCAAGTGGTAGAGTGCTTGCCTTGAGCTTAAGACTCAGGGACACTGCCCAGGCCAAGGGTTCAAGCACACAATTGACAAAAAAAGATTCATTATTGTAAATATACTTCATAGAATGTAATGAATATGTTGCAATTCATTTATCTATGTTGTTTATTAATAGCTTTGCCTATCACAAACAATGTCATAGACATTTTTGTGCCTGGTATACATTTTAGTTTGTCAAAGCAACAGCTTTTATAAGAGAGGAAAATGCAGTTCATAGAGTTTTTATCCATCATCAGTTTTATTTGGTAACATTAGACTGTTTTCCAATGAACCTTTGTTTAGAACCAGGGTATTCTAACACCCTGCCCTGGTTGGGGTAGATGTAAGACATTAGATCATATCTATTATTTTCAACTATTAACTTTTAAATCCAGCTGACTCACTCTCCTATTCCAGGCAGGCAACAAATAAACAATTTGCCAAAAAAGAACTTCAGAGTTGGTCTGTAGCCTAGATGATGCAACTAAGTCTCAGATCCTTTTCTCCCCTGAGTGGCTTCTGACCTGATTTTG